ATACCATGTGGTGGCAAATATGAGTAGGTTTTCCTGATGTCCTGATATCAATTATAATATCCCATCTTTATGGTTTCTAATAGGGCGTTAGCCATATGGATGAAGCAATAGTACAGTGGCATTTAATTAATTAATTAATTAATTAAACAATTCAAGTGCTTGAGTAAAAATTGTAGAGCCTTTGGGCCCACCCTCCCTGGTGGCACAACGGGTTTAGAGTACAGCACGGAGAAGCTGGCCGTGGCCATTTCAGTGCAAATTTGATCCCCAATCCTAGAGGTGATGCACATGGTGCAGCAGACCTCTCCTGAGCTGCCCACTGCTCCCCTCAGCGGTGTACTTTGTCTATCTGCCCGTTCTGCTCCCCACTCTGTCTCTGGTGAAACCTCTCATCCCCTGCACCTCTGGCCTGTACCCCAGTTTATATGCATAAATAAATAAATCTTTTTTAAAAAATTGTAGAGCCTTGGCATTCATTGTATTAAAAAAAATACAATACAATGTAAATGTAGACTTAATAAATTTGATGAATAATTGAATCAATACATTCAATAAATCCAGAGTAATTGAAACTTGCCTAGATAAGAGAGATGAATTTTGCTTTGGAAAAAAGAGTGATGCAAGGTTACCTCAACAGATCATCACAACCTTTTCTCTGTAAATAGCCATTCTTCTTTTCAAAAGATAGCACCACCATCCAAAGCAGAGAACAGGACATTGCTTTTTTGTTTTTTGTTTTTTTTTTTTAGTTTGTAAAATGTATTTAATAAGTGACTTTAATCCAGAATATAAAATGTACTCATACAATTCAGTCAGATCAAAAGTAAATAGTCCCTCCTTGCAAAAAACAGACATAAGATTTAAAGACACGTAAAGAAACAAATGCAAACAACTAGTAACCCTAAGAATGTGCAATAGCATATAAGTTATACTATAAACTATAAGAAGCTGCTTACTTTACTACAATGCCTAAAATCAACCATGCAAAACCAACTGATGAGAACATAGATCAACTGAATGCCACACATTACTAGCAGCAATGCAGTAGTGTACTAAAAATTTTCCCACATAATTATCAAACAACCCAGCAATCTTGTTCCTAGGTATTTACCCAAGAGAACTGAAAATATTTCCACACAAGACTTACATGTGAATGGCTATAGCAGCTATTTTGTGTAAGAATCAAAAATTAGAAACATCCAGGACATTATTTTTAAGATCTGCCTCTCACTGTCCTGAGATCCAAGAGCTGTTGCTCTAACAGGTGAGATGTCATTTTCATCCAGTGTTGCTGTTGAACAGAATGGAACTGCCCTGTGTGCCAACTCTTTATGTAGGTCCTGCCCCCCTCCCTGTCTTCCCCATCCCTTCCAGAAATCCAGATCTCTTCTTTAAGCCAAGAAAACACTGAAGTCCACAGGGATGTAGCTTGATGCAGAATTTTTTCACTCATTTTACTGACCTAGTTTCCAAAGTTCCTGCTTATTTTCTAGGGATAGAAAAAGGCTGGGTAGTGACCTCATTGGGTGGCTAATGTCACCTTGTTTTTTCTGTAAAGAAAGATTCCCTGTTCATCTTTGCAGGCTGATACACATTATGAAGCTGGGTTTGGAAAAGGAAGTGAGGCTTTTCCAGTGAAAATTTTACCAAACCTATTATTCTCAGTGCTGCTCTCCTTGCCTTACCGCCCTGGGCAGATCCTTTGAGAATCAGTTCCCTAGATCATTGCTTCTGTCCCCTAGAGGTAAGGAGAGGTCGGTCACCAACCTGAGAGGGCCAGTAGCCTGTGGAGCCCAAGGGGGAATGCTTCTGTCCGTTCCTTTGTCAACAGCCCCCATCTCTTAAGCTTCTCTTTCACTTTTGCTTCCTGTTCTGTGCCTAGCCAGGATTGTTCAGAGGTAGTGGTCTTCTCCTTGTCTTCCTCTCAGTTCCCTTTTGGGGTTTACCTTCCTCTGCTCTACTAAACCATTGCTGTTCTTCTATTTGCCTTTTATATGTCTATTTTAGAACTTCAGATATCTTCAAATTGTGTTCATGGTCAGGTTTGTTTCTTTTCTTTTCTTTTTTTTTTTTAAATATTTTTATGCTTATAAGAACTGGGGTGTAGGCCATGAGTGAGTGTGGTGGGGATTCACCAGAGATGGAGTAAGGAATGGAACAGGCAGATCTACTGAAATACACAGCTAAGAGGAGTAGCTGGTGAGACAGGACAGGTCTATTGTGACATATGTGGGTCACCTCCCTGGCCAGGGATCAAACTCATGTCGCAGTGGCTGGGGATAGCTTGATAGTGCTGAGACTTTCATATCTGTGCCACTAGGAAAGCCCACAAGTTTGTTTGTATTTGCTGTTCTCTTTGTTGTTGTTGTTGTGATTTTGAACAGAGGCTGACACTTTATCACCTTAAGAAAGTCTCATTTTTAAAGAGCAATACTGAACTCTAGGAAATTTCTCAAAGGGCAAATATTAGAAAGCTTTTATGTTTGAGGAATGTCTAGGGGGAGGCATTGGCTTTGGAAGCTGATTACTTTATAAATGTGGTAAATTGGAATGATTTTCCTTGACAATCAAATTTGAAACTTAACCCAGACTGTCTGTGTCCTTGACGGATTGTGCCAGTTGGCTTCACAGGCTGACTTTGGTCAAGTTAATTGTAATGGTGTGCACTGTGTAATTAGTGTGGAACATGAGGGATGTCTGACTTAAATCCAATTTTTCAGACCCAATGAGTTTAGGTTCCTGACTGATCATTTGAGTATGTGGGAACACTAGGAAGTGACCTTGTAGGAAGCCATAGTACACTGTTTTAGAGAGTGACTTGGACAGCTAAATACCACATATGACTTTGACAGGATGAACACTCAGGTTTCCCATGAGTGTGTCAGCTTCTAATGATTTTGTTTTTCGTTTTTCTCAAATGCAATTAAAAAAAAAGTGTCATGTGATTCTGATTCCTGGTTATATTACTTCAGATTAAAATATCTGTTCAGGTGATGTGTGAGCCATTTTTCATCTATTAAAGCTTATTTGTCCATCCCATTTAGTGTGTGTGGCCCCTTGTATTCAAATTGGTTAAAGAAATAGTCGTATCTGTCCAAGAAATTTGCAAACTACCTGGAGAGGCAGAATAGATGCATGAAATGCCTGATGTCAATGTCTAGCAATTAACCAGAGGCATGAGCATGATACTGGATCCTTCTGAGCCACACCAGGTCATAAATAGACAAGACCACCCTAGGCCAGGAGCATGGCTGCTGATACAGTTACCTGGCTTGCATCCATAAGGTACCTGCTTACAGGGTGGGTGATCACTGCAGTCTCACCTCTCCTCTGCCAGGCCTGTGTTGCTCCCCAGGGACACCTGCACAGTGCCTGTTTAACAACTTTCACAATTTGCCAGCCTTTGCTCTATTCAGTAGAATTGGCCCACCTTGTGGTAAAGGTACAATTTGAGCCAAGTATTGGGCCAAATAGAGTGATTTGATTATCAGGACAGAGACATAGTGAGTCCAGACAATTGGAGAAGACAAGATGTGCCAGAGCAAGTTATTGAGAAAGAAATATCTTCACAGCAGGAATAAGCAATGGAAATATCTAATTTTCAATTTTTTAGTAGCCATATTTTTTAAAATAGTAATTTAAAAAGCCAAAGTGAGATAACTTTAGTTATGTGTTTTGTTTATAATACCTTCTCTAAATACTATTCTTTCAAATTGTTAGCCTTTCAAAATATTTCCAACATATGTCAAAGTGCATTAGTGAGTTAACTGACATTATTATTATTATTGTTAACATTATCATTATTATTATTATTTATATTAGGTCTTCAAAATACAGAGTATATTTAATACTTAGAGCTTTTCAACTTTCTATCCAGAATACTTACTATGTTTACAGCCCATAAAAGCCTGTCCTTGCAAAAGGAGATTCCAAACTTAATAATATTAATCAAATCTAGATTTTACATTTAACTTCATTACAATGAATTCACTTTGTTCCTTGGGTACATTCACCCCATTTCAGGTGGCCCCCTGGAGCCTGGTGACCTTGTAAATCCAGGGATTGTACCCTGAAAGGCCCATCTCAGGTAGAGGCAATTGTGTCTCGTAGCCAATAAGGAGACATGACTTCATAGGAAGATGTGTCTCTTCCCAGGATTGTAATGAGAAGGAGCAGTAGAGAGAGAAACCGGGCTGCATCTTTTAAATTAAAGTCAGTCTCACAGGGTTTCAGACATCACTCAAACACTTGGTCTCTAAGTAAAATCGCCTCTTACCATGTGGCATGTACCAAAGGCTTTCTTGCAAAATGAAACTTCAGGTTGAAAGGAAGCTTTCCTCCTATTTAGTAAGCATTTATTATAACTGTATTGGATATTACCAACAGATCATAAACTACAAATATACTAGCATACATTGTGTTTTGACACAGTTATGAAAGCAAGATCATTCTTAATAGGGACTGATCTTATTTGGGGTGTCCTATTTCTAGGGTCTTTAGGCTGGAATGAGACCAGCAGTCCAATCTAGTCTATATCACTTTGATTGAGGCATTTAATGTCTCTGGGCTCAACATTCCTTATTATAGTACATCAGAGTTGTTATCTGGAAATAATAGCAGATACCTGTTGTGCCAGGTATTAATCCTTCTAGTTCCTTATGGGAGGCTGAGGCAGTACTCAGCAGTATTTCAGCATTTGAAGAACACGACACATCAGCAGGTATCCCCACCCCATTTCCACCAATGTGGATGATGTTCCTGGCTGCAAAGCAACCAGGTTAAAGCACAAAGAGCCCTTTTCATTCCTGAACTCATGGTTGGTAGCAGAAGAACTAAATGGTCAAGGCCTGTGGCTTTATTGAAGGACAGATGTCCCTGGGGGTGGCGAGCTCTGTCTCACCACCTGTGAGTCCTGAGAAGCTCAGACCTGGCCATGAGTAAGCAGTGCTGATGGCTCATTTCTCAGCCTCTCTTCTCACCATGTCTTCTTGGCCCAACAGAGGGTGTTCAGAGCTCTGCCGGATCCCCATGGTGGAATACAAACTCGACAGCGAAGGCACCCCTTGTGAGTACAAAACCCCTTTCCGAAGGAACACCACGTGGCACCGGGTGCCCACCCCAGCCCTGCAGCCCCTGTCCAGGGCCTCCCCGGTGCCTGGCACACCCGACCGGCTTCAGTGCCAGCAGCTGCTTCAGCAGGCCCAGGCTGCCATTCCTCGAAGCACCTCCTTCGACCGGAAGCTCCCTGATGGCACAAGGTACAAATAATCCCCTTTACTTATAAATGGCCCTTCAAAAAGTCTGGGGGTGAACTCTAAGTCATAGGAAGGGACTTTTTCTTTAGCTCAATCCTCTCTGAGATAGCTTGTTCTGAATATCTGGACTGGCAGGGCTGAAGGACAGGCAGAGGCAGCGGTGCTTTGGAGCTGTCCACTGCTATGCTGGTGAATGCAGGTCCCATCGACCCAACCAATATGTCTTCCCCCTCCATCCATAGCCCTCCTGACTAACTTATCTCTAATCACCTCAGGAGAGTACCTGAGAAACTGTTCTGCCTCACTCTCCTGGTAAGTGCACAGTTTTAAGAATAAATGAAGCACAATTGCAAAATCAGTAAGTCCTGTTCATTCTAATGTGCCTATAATATTTTACGAGGTCCTAAGATCATTAGCATTTCTTTGCTTTTCTCATTTTAAGCAGCATGAGTTGAGTTTAAAATTACTTTTTTCAGTGAAAACTGTTAAATCCATCACCATTAGAAGCTGGTGTGGGTTTAAAAACTCCTAGATAGTTTTAAGTGAATGAAATAGTCTAATTTTCCTGTGGCTGCATCATGCATTTCTACTTCTGTCATAGGTACCACACAATATGGGCGGGGGAGACCATGCATTTGCTCAAAGCAGCTGGTCAGGCTCTGGCCTCATAGCATTGTGAGAGAGGATGCAGGCTGCTTCCTTGATACACTGTTACCTTAGGTCTGTTTTCATCCTCTCCCAGGCTGCAGTTGCCTCCTTTCAAAAATAAACTTACTATTAACCAAAACCTCTTGGGGTCATTATAAGAAATGAATCAGTCAATACATGTAACTTTCTTAGAACCATTTCTGGCACACAGTAAACCTATAGATTGTATCAATAATAATAAATGAATAAAATTAAAATATCTGCCTGCTCCAGTATGTTCTTTCCAGGGTGAATACTAGAAGGGTGTTACTGTGATTTGACATTCATCAACACATCGGTCTGTGGAGCTTGTAAATTCAAAGCAATGCACATAGGTAGCCTGGGCGAAAGGAGTGGCATCGGGAAGGAATGAGTCTGTAGAACTGCCCTTATTAAAGTAGAAGTTAATCGTTTTTGTTGTTGTTGTTTTTTTTTGGGGGGGGGCGGGTGCTGGGTGAAGGAAGCCAGGAGTGTTCCAGTAGCAAAAGGGAAGTTTGGCAAGCACATCTTTATCAACTGAGTTTTCATTAGTACTACACATATTTGTGTATCTGAAATAAATAAGATGGCATTCAAGAAATGTGTGAAAATAAATGGGGTTGCCAAGTTTAGGGTGTTCTTCCTGCACAGGTTTTAAATATAGAACTAAAACGTGCCTTGCATGAAGTTTCCTGTAACAAGGGATACTCCTGTTATCATAATTGGGTATTCTTGGAGGCCCTACTGCATAGTACGTCATGAGAATCGTTATCTATTCTTTAAATCTTCAAGTGGTGAATGCTTGTTCCTGGCACATCTCTTTCCTATAATAGATTACCCACTATAAACCAGCTGATAGCTTCTGGCATCACCAGTGCTTGGTTTATGGGCCCACAATTTATTTTGTTTAAAATTGCAATGTGTTGTTCTCTCTTTTCTTTGTTATGGTAAAAAATAAATGAGTTTATAAAATGAAACTGACCAGGATAAGATTTTGACCCCCTCAGATACCACAGTACCCTGTTAATGATTCTGGTCAACATTTCAGAAGTTCGCCCAGCAACCAGTCGTCCTCCAGTGACCCTGGACCCGGTGGGAGTGGACCCTGGAGACCGCAAGTGGGATTTGATGGGTACTGTTCATTTTCACCTCGCTTGGCCTTGGGAGGGACTTGTTCAGTGATTCTCTCAGAAACATTTATTGTGTGCTACTGCACCCCAGGCCATTGGGGGAATAGGCTTTTAATAAGTCACTGGTCCAAGCTAGAAAGCTCATCATTTCTGTGTAGGTAGTGCTCATTTGTCTGTATTCTGAGCTAGTCTGTTTTTTCTTTGTAATAATTACAGTCTTTCTGAGCATGTGAAAAACTAAGGATTTGGATACTCTCTAGGCAATAGCCCTTGGGAGTCTTCCCCTCCCTTAAATTGCTGATGAGGAATAAATTCACAGCCTCTGTCAAAAGTTTTTTGTTTTTTTTTTCTTCTTTCGAAATAGCCCAGAATGAAAGAAGGCAGGGTTCGCAATGGGCATGGTTCTTTCTGCTGCCTGTTTGAGAACAGCAGAAAGTCACAGAAGGTTGCCTTACACACTGGGCTGAGGACTATCCCCTGTCATTTGTACACATGGCGTGCAAGAGATGGGTCAGGTCAAGCCCAAGGACACCTGGCAACGGAGAGACACTGTGTTGACTGATGAAGTGATTCAGGAAAAGCATCTGATTGGGAAGAAGAGGACCTCCGTTCAGTCTGCCTTCCCATGGTGGTGGCAAATGTAGCTCCTGGTGGCAAGTTTAGTGTGAGTTTTGCCACCAAGTCACACCTTGGCCATTCCCAGGAGCTGCATGCCCTGATTTAGACAGAGAACCACCAGGTCAGACAAAGAAATGATTTCCTAGGAAAAGAGACACTTTCTATTATTGGCCTCAGATTGTAGAAGGAATGACTCTCCCTCATGCCCTCTCTCCTTCTGGTGTAGGCCTCAAAATAGATAGTTCCAATCTGAGTTACATGTGCTCCTGACCTAATGATGGATGGGGTTCTTAAAAGTTGTAAATAAAGGTATTTTTTTCTCAATTGAGTTGCATTTTAAAGTAGAAGGGAGTTTTAAAACCATTTCTGGCTTTCTATAAGAACAAGGATTTGTAACTGGGATTCTGTACATGAGGATCACTTTTATGCTGTGTGTCAGATTCTGTTATTTATTTCTTAAGTAAGATTATATTGCCATGTTTTGGGATTTCATAGAACAAAGTCTGCCTTGACAAAGTCAAGAGACCATTAATCTTATTTTCCTTAAAAATTTCAATATATTTTAAGTAGTTCTTCTGTGGAGTTTTTAGTTTTCTCTCTATATATATTATCATATCATCCACAAATGATAGTGATAGTTTTACTTCTTCTTTCCCTATTTGAACTCCTTGTATGACTTTCTCTTGTCTTACTGCTCTGGAAAGGACTTTCCAGTATTATATTGAAGAGGAGTGGTACAAAACAATACAAAAACAAGTAGATAATTGTAAGCCAGAGAGATCCTACAGGAGAGGAAAACAGAGAGAGGTCAGAAGCAGGAAGGAATGTGGGGACTATGGTGATGATGGGGGGGGATTATTTGTTATAAAATGAACAGTAATGTAAATAGATTATATACATATATATTTTAAAATAATAAAATTTTTAAAAAGTTTGGTACAAAGAAATAACAATGCTATTTATTCTAGGAACAAGGGGAAAAAAAGCAATGAGTTCCTCTTTAACTTGCCAGGGACAAGTTGCCTGGCCATGGATAGTCCTTTTAACCTTCTGGCTTTGTTGGTCCTTCGTAAATGGCCATCATCTGAATACCATTGTTGACCCTAAGGTGAAACTGAGTCTCCCATTTTCAAACCTATAACTTCTCTGGTGGGATTGTACCAACAGATACTACATTTCATTTACCAGGAGACAACTTCTGGTTAGGGGTTTCCCCTCCATTTCCCATTTAGGAGCTGCACTTACTAGGAGCATGCTACTGGCTGGCATGGTGGATAAGAGTGGGGCTCAGCTCTGTGTCTTTCCAGGTGCCAGTCTCCCCTGCTGCTCGAGCACCAAGGCACAGGCCCTTTGGAATGTGAAGGCACCAGGGAGCGGGAGGATACCATGGAAGGAAGCAGGCACCCAGGTAACATGAGCTCCACTGGCAGCATCCACTGTGGCCCTGTCCCCTTCCCCCACCACCATCACTCTGACTCATTTAGTAAGTTATATGACATGCTAAAGTGGTCAACTGGGTCTCCATGTCATAGGAGATGCGGTTGTGGTTGGCTGAGGGGGTGCTTTGTGCTGCCTGTGGTCAAGGAGCATTGCCTTATGGTAGTTGCTCTGTTTATTCTTTGGGCATCTCCATCAGTAAAGCCAGAAAATTCTAGAACCATCACCCTGTGCATTTTTACCAAACCATGTGTTAGGCACTTTTGTTTCTTGGCTCTTTTGTTTCTTTGCGCTTTTGTTAACCCCAGAAATTAAATATTCATCTCTCTTTCTGTGACAGAAACCAAATGGCATGGCCCACCTTCTAAAGTCCTGAGTTCCTATAAAGAAAGAGCCTTACAGAAAGATGGAAGTTGCAAAGATTCTCCCAATAAGCTTTCTCATGTAAGTCCTTTGTTCATAAACTAATCACTTGGTTAGCCATTGTGATGTAGCTCCACACATGTTGTTAAGTGTAATTGCCAAAGATTCTTGATGAGTTGTCAGTGTCTCACAGGTGCTTTGGAGGCAAGAGAAGATAGATGATTCATAGATAGGCAGATAGGTTGGTAGACGGGTAGACAGAAAGTTAAGGTTTTCTTCTTCTCCTTCCTGACTTTAAAGACTCCCAAAGAAACGTCACACAGTAAATTACTCACAAAACCAAGATTATATCTTTGACCTTCTAATCCTCAAGATCCAGCATAATAGCTACTAAATTGTATTCACCCCCAAGTGGAAGCAGGAATGGTGGGTGGCACTGCAGTGGGGATACTTCACCCACAGCTTGGCCATTTAGTGTGCAGCCCCATGATTCACATGCAGTGGCAGAGGCTCCCTGCGGTGTGGTGTGCCGACACCTGGCACATTAATCTCAGTCACCTGCATGTGTTGTCATGTCTTCTCTTCATCAAACCCCTAACGGGTGAGCCCTATAGGTGGTGACCCAGTGGAACCACACCTGTTAGATGTGAAGGCATGGATTATTGACTTGCCAAACAGAACCAACATTTTAATGTAGCTTATGCTTGAAATTTTGCAGTTAAGAAATTGTGAGGAGGTTCTGACTTAAGATGTTTCTTTCTCCTGTGTGTCATTGGCGAGTTTTATAACTGTAATGAGCACATGCGGCCTTACTTCCCTTAGCTGCATCAGGACCTTGTCTCCAGTCAGCTTTTTGTAGCCATTTAATTCCATCTTTACAAATCTTTCACTGCGGCTCAAGTAAAGGGAGGCAGGAGTGGGGAGAGACTTGGGAATATCGATATATGAAAAGAAGGTCAAGGGGATTTGCTTAAGGATCTGATGTGATGGAAGGAAAAAGAAAAGGCCAAGCCATTTAAAAATAGATCAGGGCATGACTCGTTCTCATGACTCCACAGCCCTTTACTGATGTACCAGGCCTTATTAATTTTCCCAGGTTGCAGTGAGGGGCTCTGTCTGTGAGCACATCAATGAGATAGGGACATTTGTTCTGGCTTCTTTGCTTTTTGTCTCCCAGGGTCCCCAGAGCTCTGACTCTTTTCAAAAGAGAGCCAGAGCTCATTAGCACTGAGGGTGTAGCTAACTTGGGGCTCTTGGAGAGATTGCTCATGTTTATTTACATAGTGTCTTTGTGACTGAAAAGTGCTTCTGGATCTATTATTTCATTGGATCTACACGTTAATCATGTCGAGAGGGACTCTGACTGGCCAACGTCTCACTACTGTGATCAAACCTGGGTCTTCTGTACAAGCCCATGGCTGGCAGTATACTTTGACACAGAAGCATTTTCCACATAAAAGACTGCCCTTATCCTTTTATTAATTTTTCCATATGCTTTCCAAATTTATAGAACCTCTGTTGATAGCTTTCTGGTTAGTAACACCCTGATAATACTTTGGGCTTCATGTACATATAGTCCAACAAAGCCTTGAAAAGATACCCCTTTAATTTAAGGTGAATTTTGGGGAGAGGATTATGAATCAAATTTTTGCAGAAAGCCAAACTATTTTTAAAAAGTAGATTCTATCATTCCATTGAAAAGTGAATAAGAAGAGTCCAGGTGAGCTTATCTGGCTTTGTTAGTCTGGTGAGCTCATCTAGTTAGCTTTGTGAGTCTGGGTCACAATAGCCATCTTCATAAGAAAAGCAAAGTATGGGATTTTCTTGAAGCCTATTCATTTCTCTTCTCAAGATTGGAGATAAAAGTTGCTCCAGTCACTCCAGCAGCAATACGCTGTCCAGTAACACCTCCAGCAACAGCGATGACAAGCACTTTGGGTCCGGGGACCTCATGGACCCAGAATTGCTGGGGCTGACCTACATCAAAGGGGCCTCCACAGACAGCGGCATCGACACAACCCCCTGCATGCCAACCGCAGTCCTGGGCCCAGTGCATCTGGCAGGCAGCAGGTCCATGATCCACAGTCGTGCAGAGCAGTGGGCCGATGCTGCAGACATCTCAGGGCCCGAAGACGAGCAAGCGAAGATGTACACAGTGCACGGCTATGCCCCAGCCATCTCTGCCAGCAACACTGCCGACGGCAGCCTGGGCGACCTCAGTGAAATCTCTTCTCATTCCAGGTAAGTGTCTGTCTCACCTGTTCATCAGTAACTGCTTATCCTACCTGGGCATCCTGGGTGTCACTCCCTGCTGGGGAGGGGTCAGGGCCCGAATAGGAGCAGTCTGTAGGTGAGGCAGGTTTGCTGAACTCTGACTTCAGGTGAATTGCATGTTTAGGTGTCTAATTATAAAGAGAGCACATGAAGAAGTCAACTCATTTCTAATTTTGCTTTCCTTCGTCTTTAAATTGGAGGCAAAACTGCAGATACTCTTCCTTCTAGTCAGGCCATTTTCCTCACTCTCCCAAATCAACCTGTTGTCCCTGAATCTTTAGGCTAAGTGGTGGGAAGCTGGGCAGTGCTCAGGTCACAGGTCAGGTGGCATCTTCACGATCTGCTTGTAGCTTCCTGCCACAGAGTTGTGTCTGGATATTTTGTTCTGGAGATCCCTTCTCAGGGAGGAGGGGACTGGGAGCATCGCTGTGGCAGTGAATGTATGTTCATCTGGTCAGTTCAGTTTTTTGTAAAATAAAGATTTAGCTAAATTTAAAGAAAACTGTGTTTTAAGTATAGATGTTTAATATAAACTCCTGTCTTATAAGTCTATACAGTGGTTTTAAAAATCTTAACTTGTGATTCCTTGCCTTCAGATATTAGGCAGAGAAATAGTTCTGTTCCAGTCTGGCTGTGGACAGAAGTTTTCTGCATACTAGCAGTCATTGCCATTTTTCTTTGAGTATCAATTCCTCTAGAACTCACCTAAATGTTGGAGCACAGTTAGATGTATGAATGATGGGACTATTCTTCAGAAACTTAGAGCATGGGGATGCATTTGGTGCTTGGCGCTCCAGCAGGGAAGGTTCACCAAGATCATCCCTTTGTGCCACCCAGCCCCCACCTCCCCACACAGCCAAGACCTCTCCTGCCCTTTCTCACACCACTACTGCTAAGAGATAGGGACCACACCGAGTCTTTGCTTACATCCGCAAAGACAAACTGGTATTAAATCAACAGGCAGAAACCAGAACAGAGTAACCACAATCACATACTCAAAGCAGATGTGGAAGTCATCTCAGGATCTACCCTTGAGCAAGGCAAAAGCATTATCATTGGTGCCATATTGTCACACGACACCAGATGATATATTTATGCTTGTATGAAACAATTTAGACTTCTAAGGCACAGAAGAGTGTTGTTTCAAAACATGCCACATATTCAATTCTGCTTTATGTTTTTCTTTCCCCACCACTAATATCTTCATCTGTATGTCCCATTCAAGAGTATGTACGATACAGGCAAAAGAAAACACACTCACTGCTAGGCTTTAGACTCATGTAGACAAAAGGTTCAGAACAGCTAGGGTTCCGCTTGACCCAGCAGCTCCATTGATCTCCTCCAAGGCCAGCTCCCCACATCCTTAGGTTCCTCATGATAGCCCCTTGAATTCCCCAGTCCTCTCTCGCTTGAGAATAGCTGTATCACCTGTGCTTTTGCACCCGTGTCCACAGGAAGAAGTGTGGCTCTTTTCTGATTTCTTTTTTTTTTTTTAAGATTTATTTATTGATACATACAGAACTGGGGTACAGGCCAGAGACAGAGTAGAGAGCAGAACAGGCAGATCAATGAAGTATATTGCTGAGGGGAGCAGCAGGCAAGACAGGAGAAGTCTGCCACACCATGTGGATCACCTCTGGGGCCTGAAGTGAATGTGGCTCACTTGCAGTGCTGCTCCTTAACTTGCTGCGCCACCAGGGAGGGGTCCTCTCCTCTGATTTTTGTAGATGTTCTTCCCAGTACCCCCTTTCATCTTCTTGGCTTTAATCATGGTGGTTAGGAGATAGATTTGCTTACAACAGGCAGAGAGCCTTGTGCTGAAAAGAGGGTGTCAATCAATTTTACCAAACCATGCAGCTGAAGAAAGAAGAGTCAAGAGATCCACTTCCCAAGAAGAAAACCTTTCCCCAGGAAAAGGGGGAGCACTTGCCAGAAACTAAATCCCATGTGCCCACCACATTGTCTTCTGCCACTGCGGCAGGGGAGTGTAGGTGACAGAAATTTCATTCACAGTAATTATCCTGTCCTTTTCACTGTGTGTCAACTATTTCTTAGTGTTCAACCTTAGCTGAAATGTTTTGTGCTTATTCTCTTCAATAATTGCTCTTAAAATATGTTTAGTCACAAATAAAAAATTTCCAGATTTTGGCCCTCCCTGGTGGCACAGCGGGTTAAAGCACAGCACTGAGAAGCTGAAGACACTTCCGCATGAGTTCGATCCCCGCCTGCCCCGGAGGAGACCACATGGCGCGGCAGACCTCTCCTGACCCGCCCGCTGCTCCCCTCAGCAGTGTACTTCATCAGTCTGCCTGTTCTGCTCCCCACTCTGTCTCTGGGGAAGCCTCTCACCCTCTGCATCTCTGGCCTGTACCCCAGTTCTGTACGAATAAATAAATAAATCTTTAAAAAAAAAAATTTCCAGATTTTACCAGTGACTTTGGTTACCTGACTTATATCTGTCTAATTTCACAGACAGATAAACATGGACCACATGATAAAAGCCAGGTTGAGCCTTGATAACATTCTAATGTCTTAGAAACTTAGAAGATTTGTAAAACTTCTGACTTCTTGATACCTTAGTAGATAAATGTAATTGGGATAATAAATAAGATTTTGTATCACTACCAAGAAACATTTCTGTGGAAACCACTTTCAAAGCTTGTTCATTTATACATAGAGGTAGGGATATTTTCTTATATATACTTAAAATCTTATTATTATTTGAATTTAATTATTTTTCTTATTTTTTATTAATTTATAAATCTGATTATATTATTGTTCATTTTAAAACGATGCGTCCTCCCTCCCCCACTTCACCATTAAATTAACGAACAGTTAAGGTATTCAAGGAAATCAAATTCAAACGAACAGTTAAGGTATTCAAGGAAATCAAATTCAAATCTCTGTTACTATCCCTTCATTTAATAGGTTAGATTATTAGAAAATACAGAAAGTGCTAGGTTGTATTTCTGATAGATTTTACTTTTCCCTGCCAATTTAAATTGAATATGTTCACAGCTGTTGTAGAAATGATATGTGTTCAATCAGTGGATCAGTTAGCACCAAACTAGCTGTTTTTTTTCTTGCAATCTGTAGTTGATGGTGACTTTGAAGCACCTTTCAACTTAATATTCTAGGCTTTTGCTCTGATGAAGTTGCCATAAAGGGAATTTTCACATACCTCCACAGGTCTTTCCCCTGACATTTGCAGAAGACCTAGATAAAATAAGATTTAGATTTTTATATTTTAATTTTTTAAATAATTAGATATTCAAAAAATTAACTATACTAATATGTCATATTTAAAGCATCTTTGCAACTTCACTAATTAAAGCACAAGGCCCAAGCTACTAAAGCTTCCTGAGATTCTGCCAACTCTGAAATGCCAGGCCCATCACTGAGTGCATGTGTGCCTGCAACAAGGAATTCAGCACCCTGCACTTTGCTCTTCTCTGTTCAGACTAACATGTGGTCGGCTCACCTAAGGCCCTCTGCATAAGAGTCTAGGGTTGGGGCTAGGAGTAACACAAGAAGAGCTGAATAAACTATCAGAGCCTGACATCAGTGCTGAGCACCCTATCAAGGTCAGCTGACCCTTGAGCTCTCTGTGTCCCATCCCATGGTTCAGTTTCATCTTGGCTCTCACCTCCAGCTGAAAGGCTTATGTGGGCATCTCCTTCCCCTGACACACCCACAGCAGAATGTAGCATTCTCTCTCTTTTCGCTCTTCCCTTCCTGAAGTATCTATACCCATTTTTGTCAGCCTTTTATGTTTGTTATTCTATTATGGCTTGTACTGTCCGCTTCCTGGTGACAGCTGAGATTGAGCACCTTCTCTTATGTTTATTTAACATTTGAGTTTCCTCCTGTGAAGCCTCATTGTAAATGTACTGCCATTTTTCTATTAGATGCCTGCTGCTCTGTGCCTCTTTCTGGCAGGAGATCCTTAACCTACGGGGGTGCAGGGTAGAAAGTTAGCTCTCTGCTGCACCCTGCCTGATTTGCTTACAGAGAAGGACAGGAGTAAAGCCTTATGGCTCTGAAATTGGCAGTGCACCAGCACTGCCAAAATCAGTTTATATTGTCTGTTTTTCTCTTCAGCGGTTCACACCATTCAGGAAGCCCTTCGGCTCACTGTTCCAAAAATAGTGGCTCTCTGGATTCTTCCAAAGTCTACATCGTGTCACACAACAGCAGTCATCAGGTCCCCGGGTCTCTGTCCAAGCCCTACCACAGACAAGGGGCAGTAAACAAGTATGTCATTGGCTGGAAGAAGTCAGAAGGCAGCCCACCGCCTGAGGAGCCCGAAGTGACCGAGTGCCAGGGGTAAGGTGGCTGTTCTTCTCCAGCAGCTTTATCCACTTGGGGATTCACTAAGCAAATGTATTTTCCCCCCAGCAGCAATATATTTTCAAAAAGAGAATATGTGAAGCATCTTTGTATGTCTTCTCTTTCCTTGGATTTTGCATATAAAATTTGAAGAAATCTCTTTTCTTTGTTCTTATATTCAAAAAGCTGGCTGCAGTAGAAAAGCCATGATTATGTGCTATTGATGGTATGAGTATGGAGTCTGTAAATAAGCAAGTTCAAGGACAGTTTGAATTCCCATAAAGTCTGTGTGTATGCACGCACACGTGGGTGTGTGTGTATGCCTGTGCATGAAAGTTGCTGTGTAAGTGACATCATAGAAGACATAATGTTAACCTGACTTTGATTTCCCCTTGAGCTGTTAGGTTTTGTGGAGGAAAGTAAGGAGGGATGTTCTATCTCTATTTGAAAAGGAGAAAAGAGAAAAAAAAACTTATCTTAAAATACATGTAAAGGCTTTTCGATAGCTCTATGAAGAGTAAAGAAATCACATTTCAAGACTGCAAGGCAAGGCTGATCAGGCCAGTTAGCTGTTGATCAGGTTGTCTTATAGGAGTCAAACTTAGAAAGAATCCTTGTGCATTACATAATGAGGCCATTGTCTTTTGCCATGCATTGATGTATTTATAGCATCATTGAATATGGAGGTATGGGGGGGGGTGCATAGATCAGAAAAACACACAGTGTGTGTGTATGTTTTAATACACTGGTTTGATGACACTGACTGTCGGTAAAAGAGGCCATGTGGGGCTATTGTGAGGAGGGGGTATGCGTGCCTAGCAGAGCCTCCCTTCCTTCTTTGAACCGAGGCTGGTGCTGGGATTCACACCCCAGTCTCCAGGTCTGTTCCTGGCAGTGGTGTTCACCCCTCCAGATTTTGAGCTTGGTCATTGAACTCGTATCACTTTTTTTCCCTTAAAAACTGAGTCTGCTTCTTATATATGACAGCATTGAGATTGCCTTCTAAGTCAAAAGTCATTTTAGTGCTGTTGTTGAACCTGAATTAACACATCATGTCAGTGATAACAGAGCAGTTATTTAGAAAGGAATTTTACAGTGATTACTACCTTTCTGATCATAAATACAATTGTTATGATAATGTTGGTGTTTATGTCTAATCGTCTTCTGAGTGCATCACAGAAATAACATCCCAAGCTGTTAAGTTCTGACGAGTCATTTTGCACATCTGTTCAAACCCTGTTTCCGTGAAGAGTCAGGAGAGAGTGAAAGACCTCACCTGGTCATCGTCACCCTTCCCTGCCTGCCCCCACCCTGAGTTTGTGTGTTAACACGCTGGTTTGATGGCCCTGACTCTCAGTGAGAGGCAGCGTGGGGGCATTGTGAGGCGGGGGTATGCGTGCCCCTAGCAGAGATTCCTGACCCCTTGGAACCTAAAGCTGATGCTGAGATTCACACCCCAGCTTCCAGGTCTGTTCCTGGTGTGTGGTGTTCACCCCAGCAGGTGCAGCAGGCACAGCAGGCCTCCCCCAGCCAAGTCAAGTGCTTCTAAAACAAGGAAACCTTCGTTCACAGGAAGTAGTGAACCCCTGACAGCCACTGCCTAGGAAAGTGTCAGTGACAAGGAGAGCTTTGTCAGACAGTATTTTACTGAATCACTGGAAGGTGTGCTCAAGAACGATCAACAGAAGATAGTGTGTTGTACCATTGAGAACTAGAGAATATTAGTGTTTCACTACATACAACATGTGAAATAAGTTTTGACCTCCAGAAGCCTCACAGAATTCTGAAATTACCAATTATTTCTTTAAAATCATCTTGTAGAACCTTCATTGATTTATGTTATTGTTGTTCATAATGTCATCTCCTGTTTTAAGATGTAGCTAATGAGAGCTGCTCATTCCTTTATTAAGTAACACTTGAATGTATGCCATGGGTATAGTGTGGCTGAGGTCTATTTTTCTCTTCAGTGGTTCACATTATTCAGGAAATCCTTTGGCTCACTGTTCCCAAAATAGTAGGTTTCTAGACACATCCATCAATAGCGGTCAATAAAGTGTTGTGTTTATCCATGTAAAAAATTATATGGGGCATTAGAGATAGCAAGCTAATTAAGTCCCATGCTCCATTTTCAGGCATACCCTGTCTGTGCTAGGAGAAAAGCGTAGGAATGACTAATTATAGTATCTCAGAAGCAGCTCATAGATGTGCTATTTCATATATTACATCAGTGATAAGAGAACAATGCCAGTGTTTACTTGCATCTCGCCTAATTTGTCCTGCAGTTGTCTTCTGTAGTCCCCATTTAAAGTGGTTTTCTTATCTAACTGCTTGCCAAATCAGAACTCGACTCCTCCGGACAGCACCTTGTTATCCACACACCTTAGAGACCCTCCTTCCCGATATCTCGCTCCAGACCTGGGGCCTCAGCCATCATTGCAGCCTCAGCCTGTGCAGCTGTGCAGCACCCCCAGCCCACACTCTACCCCTCCTCTACCCACGTATCAAATGGCACCGCAGATGGGTTTCTTTCTTCTAATATTTAAAGGTTGTTTGCTTTTCTATTTATAATCTTACTAAACTAATATCTTCAGGATAACAGCTTAGCATAGCATATTTCTGATTTGTCCCATACCGACTCGAGCCTCATCTCCACGCCCCTAGCCCCTACACTTCCTAGCAGCTCTGCCCTTACTGCCTCAGGCGAAGAGTTGTGTCAGACCTCTATGTTCCATTCATGCAGTTTCTTAAATTCCATTCCTAAGTTTCCATGGACAGAACTATTCACAGCAGGATCTCTCTCCTCCCTCTCTCCTTCTCTCTCCCTCTCTCCTATCTCTCTCCTCTCTCTCTCTCTCCTCTCTCTCTCTCTCTCTCTCTCTCTCTCTCTCTCTCTCTCTCTTTCTCTCTCTCCTCTCTCTCTCCCCCTCACGCCCTCCCCCGCCACCCTTCCACTGAGACCTGCCCTGTGAGCACTACCTGCTCACCCACTCTTACCCACTTTACTGGCATAGAGGAGGTACTCAGCATACATCCTGACATGTCCTTTGGCAGTTTTAATAAAATCACTAATTTAGCAGAAAAGACCAGCAATTTTCATCTATTCATAAGTGGAAAGTAGAAAAACATGATTTAATAATACTATAGGTATTGTCTATTTTTCCAGTTAGCGCTTGGTAGGACCTAGGGGTTTTGTCCCCTACATTTTCTCAAAGCACATAAAGTCTGAGGCTCTTAGTATCTACCAATCTCAAATCTCAAGCTCAAAACTTGGCAACAACAAATGCTGGCAAGGATGTGGAGAAAAAGGAACCCTCCTACGCTAGTGGGAATGCAGAATGGTCCAGCCACTTTTGTGTGGAGGATCCTTAAAACACTAAAAATGGACCTACCATATGATCCAGTGATTCCACTCCTGGGAATATACCCAAAAGAAACAAAAACACTAATTCAAAGGGAAACCTGCACCCCTATTGATATGTTTATTACAGCACTATTTACAATAGCTAAGATGTGGAAACAATCCAAATGCCCAAAACAGATGACTGCAGTAAGAAGATGTGATATATAGTGGAATCGATGTGAGATATACGTATACATAGTGGAATAGTACTCAGCAGTCAAAAAGATAAATTTGTGCCATTTGCAGCAGCATAAATGGAGCTGGAAGGGACGATGTTTAGTGAAATAAGTCAAAAGGAAAAAGAAAATTATTGGTAGTCCCACTTATAGGAGACATACAAGGAGTCTGAACAAAGGATCAAGAAAACAAAAGAACTTGTTTTCTTAGATCTAGGCTACAGCAGAAAGGGGGAGAGAATTGAGTCCAAAATAAAAAGCCAAACTGGGCACTTCGAGGTATACTCTCCTTAAAACCTCCATGTGCTTTTTCCAATGTCATTTTCATATGAAAGTCCTCCAGTGTCTCCCAAGGTCTTGGCTTCTTCTTGTAGCTCCCATTTTCAGGCTCTCTGTCCTCCAAATCAACCACTTATTCAGTCATATTTTAAAAGTTTGCCAAAGCTGCTTTTCCAGCCACCTTGGAAAAGCACCTTTTCTGTTCACTTTGTCAGCACTTCTGGTGCTTAAAGAACTGAGGAGTGCAGGGAATTGATCTACCTTAGGAACAAAGCAAAAGCCAGAGTGATCTCCAGATAAATCATTATTAATTTTGTACACATCTATGTGAGCTCCTTATTCTGATAATTTCCCTGTGAGCTGTCACCTTGTGACAAGATAGCCTTACTTGCAAAATATTCATCACATTGACACACAACCACAACACTATTGCCCGCTGCCGTGACTGTGTTGCAGGTCGGAGTGGGGTGGTCGGTAGGGGACAAGTCCCTCCAAAGACTGCACAGCCACCCATCACTTAGAGTCTTCAGGAATGTTTGGTTGCTCATATTTCAGAGGAAACCTTTTGAAAATGACTTCCCAGATTTCCCCCTGGAAAAGTGCTGAAAACAGTAATTCAGCTAGACTGTCTTTTGTTGTCCATAAATACACTTTTATATACCGATAATTAAGGGAGACAGCTGCTTTGTTTATCCAAACAACCTCACAAAATTGCTGATAATAAAACATGCTTGGCACAGACCTGCATTGATTATTCTTACACACGAGATTCCCCAAAGTGCCTCCCCTTGTGTTGCCTGGGTGCCATGTGGTCTCTCATCCAGATACAAGAGAAAGGCTCCCTGTGATTCTGAGGATCACAAGGGTTCTTTAAAGGACATATGATAATCTCTGATGAATTATTGAAACTCTTTTCTGACACAGATTAGGAAAGGGAGAGCATAGCCTCGCTTTAAAAATGGGCTACTGTATGTTTTTGTATCTAGGGCTTTGGAGACTTTCTTTGTTTCAGAATTATTCAGAAATCTAACTTTGCAGTTGAGTTTGTACCACAAGTATAAACTGACATGGGGGTCTGAAGCAAGTGCTGCAGGGTGAACCAACTAAATAATTAAGAACAGTGTGTGTGCGCATGTGTGTGTTGTTGAAATGGTTTTAGGGTTTTAATTTTTAACACTGTAGGCACTTTACAGATAGGCCGACCTCGCCTTTTAATTTCCCTTCTGGTTTGTTCCAACAGGCTGTATGGTGAGATGGATCTCATGTCCGCCGCTGCACAGCATCAGACAGTGGTGGGAGATGCTGTTTCAGAAACACAGCACGTTTTATCAAAAGAAGACTTTCTGAAATTGATGCTTCCTGACAGCCCCTTAGCGGAGGAGGGGAGAAGGAAGGTTAGTAGCTTTTATGGGGATTTGAAGTTATAAGAAACACTAAAGAAAAGTCTGAAGAGACTCAGGGCTTCCCAGATAGCCCCCACATGCATTTTCTCTTGTGACCCCATGCACCACTCTGTGCGTGGCTGGCCATGTTCAGGGTCCACCCCATGTGAGCCCAGGAGAGGAGAGGAGGGCAGCTGTCTAGTGTGTGGACAGAGCTGATAGTCAGGAGAGCTTGGCCTCAAGTCCACTTCTGGGGCACCAGCTGCATGACTTTCCATAAGTGACTTAAACTCTCGGCCTAATGTTCTCCTCTAATAAGATAAAGTAGGGAGAGACAATAATAAGTTTCCTTCCAAATTATGGCAAAGATAAGAAATAACATGGGCAGGGCCTCATACAGGTCTGGACATAATGGGGGATTAGAAACGGTAGCTATTGAAGTTCATACTACCTGATTTGTGCACCAGAACTCCATCTCTGCTCCATGCTGTCCTTCTCACATGTAATTCTGTTTCAAAACTGAAGGCATATTATACTTTCTGGATGGTAGGGGGGTGTCATAGAGAGGTGGCACCCCCATTCAGTGGGAAGCTGCAGCTGTCACAGTGGCCACTCATTGGCCAGCCTGCTGAGGAGAGGCATGCCTTTGCTCCTTATTGTTCTTTCCGTTTGAGTTTCATTGTCATTGCGGTTTCTTCAACCACTTTGTTATATAGTTCATGTTGGTGGCAAAGTGAGGACTGGAAACCAGCGCTCTCTTATGTAAGCCTATGCTCCCTTTGCCCAAATGAAAAGAAAAAGCAAAATTAGGCATTGCCATATTGACTGTGATCCAGATAAACAGTAAATCTTAGTGCTTCTGTCTCCCCTATAATAAAACAATGCTGCAATTAACCTAATTGTGTTCCTAGAATAATGCTCTAATTAGATACTACCTCAAAGCTGCTTTAATCTAATGTGCCTATAATCATGTTCTGAAGAACCGGCTGGTCGTGTGTGAAAGGGAATCCCAGAAGAACTCAGTCATAATGAGTTGTGCTTCTTTTTTTTTTTTTTTTCTTTTAACTTGTATCAAATCATATATATGGTACTATATAAGCTTGGGTGCAGGTTACTGAATAAAAAGTGCAAATAGCCTTTCTTTTAATAGGGGTAAGCTTTGCTTTGACATGTATTTTTCCCCTCTTAAGACAAATCACCTTTTCTTAGTGTAAATTGAACTTTGTAGTTTGTACATATCCTAGTTTCCAGACTTGACAGAATGGAAGGAACACATACCACAGAAATATTTTTAGCCTCTTGCTGCATTCACAAATGTAAATAGCCACTTCTGTATTTGTTTGATGTGAACATTCTGGATTTTACTATTGTTTACATCAATAGAATGTGGTTCAGTGTGCAGAAATAGTTGGAAATTAAGATTTGGTTTATTTTTTCTTATTTGACTATTTGCTTCTTGAGTAAGAATTTTCCTTCCCCTGAGATTTAATAGGTAATCATTTGTAATAGTTCCTGTAAATCTGATTATTATTGATTACACCTCAGTGTTCCAAAAATTGTAGACTTTTGTGAGTGGTATTTTTAACTAGACAGTAAGATTTTACTGAACTGATAACCATTTTCTTGAGCCTGTTTGTATGTCTTGGAAAGCAGCAATATTTGAAATTAGTTTTATTATTATTTAGATTAGATTTTACATCACATGCAGTTGATTAGAACAGAAATTGCCTGATATTAAAATGTAGTCATTTCAAATTAAAATCAAGCTAGCTCTATGTGTGACTTTGAATAAGTGTCACCTGAAATGGTAACCTTATATATTTCTGGGAGTCTCACTGTCACAAGGTTATAGAGGTTCATTTAACATTTCAAAATTAATAAAGCAATGCATGTCTAATTCATGATAATATTTCACAGAATGTCAAAGGAGGAAAACATTCAAATCCAGTAAGTGCATGCAGCCCTGGGTATTTGACTGCACGGCCCCACAGATGGGGTTGAGCATTGCTGAGTACCGCATGATGCCTGGCTAGGGAGGCCCAGGGAGCAGAGAAGCCAGCGCACTTAGCCAAATAAGCTCTTTCAGCTTTTCACTATTTGTGTCTCACCTCCATGTTTATGCCCTAGTTTTCGTTCTACGGGAATCTGTCCCCACGGAGGTCGCTGTACCGCACCCTCTCGGATGAGAGCATCTGCAGCAATCGGAGGGGCTCCTCCTTTGGCAGTTCCCGAAGCTCCATCCTCGACCAAGCACTGCCCAACGACATTCTGTTCAGTACCACACCACCCTACCACAGCACGCTGCCCCCACGGACCCACCCTGCTCCCAGCATGGGCAGCCTGAGAAGTAAGTGCACGGGAGTGGGGGTAGCCGAGGTCACCCCAGTTCCAAAGGTGTGGGTGCATTGACAGGCGCTGCCTCCATGTGTGCTTCCCTAGTATCAGCTGCTGGGATTTGGGGTGAGGGTATGTATTATTATTTTGTTGTTTTGTCTTCAGTTTTTAAATATATACATACATACATACATACATATATATCCCTGTGAGTAGATGTTACTTTTTTTAAATAAAACTTAAATATAAAAGCTCCAGAGTGGACATTTTTTAAAGTTAAGCAGTGTTACTAATTTGGAAGAAAACTGAAAAACCCAGGTTACACATTTATCAAGTAAACTAGTGACCTCTATACCATCTCTCAGCTATTATATACATAAAAGTCAAGTGTCTATAACTTCATTTTATGAAATGAAAGCGGTGGTACCAGGGTGGGTTTTCCTGTGGACATTGAGCAAGAAAGAAAGTTCTAGTCTTCCATTTCTATTTATTTTTGGCCCCAAATACCTGCTGATAGGCCTGGGGGGGAAGAGTCAGGAGGCCTGCTGTGACCCTGCCTCTCCTTCCAACAGGCAGTGATGCTTGTCACTCTGTGTCCAATTTACTGGTCACAATTTAACTGGATAATGTCTAGATGCTTTTTCTTCACAGCTGAAGTCTGCTTTTCCATGGTGTCAATTCCTTATTTCTGTGTTAGTGTTAAGGGTGATATCTCTTCTTATTTTACATTGGTTAGCTTTATTTCCTTTATTCATAGTTAATTTCTGTGATACAGGAAGAATGAAGATTTAATCAGAAATGCATTCATTGTCAGAATTTTTTAAAATTTCATCATCAAAAGCATTATCTTTAGAACCAATTTGAATTTCATAATACACATAGACATGCCTGGCTAAATGAAATAAAATTCTAATAATGTTTCTGATGTTTAACGTAATTGAAAATGAACCTTGTCTCATAAAATTCTTAATCTATTTCTTTAAGTAACTTAATATCCTGCCTGTTACAAAGAGCATGTGCCTAAATTGAGGAAACCTTTAAATTCCTTCTTGATAACCATATGACAGGTCAGACAAATTCTAATACCCTATTATTTTCACCAAATGTTTTTCTCTTTTAAAAATAGGTAACTTTAATGCCCCCCCTAAAAGCTTATGTAAGACTAATAAAACAATTTTATTGGTAAATGATTTTAATAGCATATGCTATTTCTGTCATTTAAAATGCTTGTCAAATCTATGTCTGTGTGTTAAAAGAGTTCTTACATTCTTCCCTTTATGTGCTTCCATGTGAAAGATGGTATCCTTTATCCTCAATTTATCCTCAGTTTTTTTTTTTTTTTTTAACAAACTACTTTTTGAGCAGTTTTAGGTTCAAAGTAACATCCAGCCGAAGGTTCGGAGATTTGACATCTTTCCCTTAACCCAACCCATGCACAGCCCTCTTCCACCAACACCCCTCACCAGACAGGAACATTTCTTAGAGTTCATGAACACGCTGTCACTTACACAAAGCACATAGTTTATGTTGTGGTTAACGCTTGATGTTGTGTGTTCCACAAGGTCTGGTCAGATGTGTCCTGATAAGTAGCCATCATTGCAGTGTTACAGGGAGTATTTATACTTCCTAAAATTTCTCTGTGCTCCACCTGTCCATTCCTCTCGCCCCTAAAACTTAGTAACCATTGAACTTTCTACTGTTCCCATAGTTTTATCTCTTCCAGAATGCAATGTACACATGATGTTGGAATTATATGTATCCTTTTCACACTGACTTTTTTCACTTTATCATATTCATTTAAAGTTCTCCCATGTTCTTTTTCATGCTAATGCATTCCTTTTTAATACTGAATAATATTCCATTGTTTGGCTGTAACATTTATTCATTCTGACTCTGAGGACTATAACCTTTCTTAGTATGTTCAGTTATGCAACAGGAGGAAAACACTGCTAATTCACTAGACTGTCTTAGTTGTCTTCATTGTTCATTTCTCTAGGAAAAATAATAAGTGGTTCCTGATATTTGCACTCTCTATTAAAACCTTCTTGCTTCACAATGTTACTTCACTAATTTCTGTATTTTACAAAATACTCAGAATGCTCTTGGTTTGATGGGTAAAATGCAGAAATGTAGATGAAGGATTTGGAAGTAATTTATATTGATATGTCTTCCTCCCAGAACTTCAGATTCCCTCCACCCCAGCTGAACAGAGAGGTTCACATCAAAGATCTAGTTGTCCTTTCGAAGATGCTAGTTCCTGGACCCTCTGACTCCCACATCTACCAGTGTGCTCGTTACTTTTGTACCTACTCAAGATAGATTTTCATCACCCTTCACTTTGTGTAGTGTCAGCTCTTTCAGCAGAGCCTCTAGAAAAGGATGTCACTCCAGTCTGAAACTGAGAAACAACTAGAAAGTTGAAACATTAGAGCCAGTGCCTAGCAGATATCCAGGAGTAGGAAATGAGGAATATTTGAGGTTGTCCAGTTGATTCTCAGACACTAATAAACTTCATATGAAAACTCAGAGTGGAGATTAGTTCTGTTGAATCTTCTAGTCCTGAATGCTTAGGTAGAGCAAGGGAATACACTCAGAAGGTTCACAGATTCCTTTGCTTTAAAACTCAAGCATTCCTAGAAAACAGCTGATGTGAGAATCTTTCACTGGTTACAGACTCATTTAGCTCATTTCTGATTTGAAGTAAGGATAACGCAGCACAAGAGTCCTCAAGTCCATCTTTTCACAGTATTGGAAAAGCTCATCTCTGTACCGTTTTTATTGTGATAATGACAGCCACAAATACCTTGGACTGATATTTTAGCTTTGAAAAGCTTTAAACCAGCTTCAGAATCTGTCTTCTCTTGAGATCATGATCATAATCCAACCTTGTTAGACAGATACTTACCCAGTACATCTTGGATATGACTCATGTCATGATTCATAGATATTTCCTGTGAAATCACTGAAATGTGCTATATCATTATGCCTTCAAGTTGAAGGTATAAAAATGTGACCTGACCCAACAATTGAAAGTAATTCTGGAATGTTTCTGCATGGCACACAGAGCTATTGCATTCTTTGTTGGTGGATTCTAGACTAACATTTCTCTAATGGCACAGATAGGAACAAAAATGGGAATGGCTGTTTACTTAACAGTTGACAGGCCAGATAACCAGTGCTAGGAAGTGTTCTGATAGCCTTCTCCTTGACCAGTTGGATACCCATTTTCCTTCAGTTCTATCCAAGCAATGACAGGCTCACAAGACAAAGAGAATCCCTAACATTTAACATGAGAATCAAAACTCTCCAAGGAATAGTGGGAATCTTCCTATAAGAAAAAATTAACCATAATTCTTAACTTTTAAAAATTCAAAAAACAGAGCATCAGCTCATGTGTGTTCCCAAAGCCTATAGTTTTGACATAGGCACCTTGCAAAAGATGCCTGGCAATTTCAAAAAGGGGGGTGGGGTTTTGAATAAATCAGTACTTTCCTTAGATTTTAGTAATTTCACAAGATACCGAAGACTCCCCATGTCAGCTCAGTGGTGTGTGGCGTGGGTGTAACAGCAGAGTAATCCTTGCTACAGTTGGCTTTGCAGAAGGCATCCGTGGGTTGTCAGAGGCAGGGCTTTGAATGACTCAGGATGGCACATTTTTCCATTTTTCAAATGTTCTCATTCTCCTTGTAATAAATATCCATTGGTTTCTAGGGAGTAATTGTGAAACCTCAGCTATCTGACCACCAGAAAATGCTGTCGGCCAGGCTCCTCCACGTTTATAACACTGAACAAACAATAAAATTAAATGGTCACCATGATTCCAGGTTTTGGGTCAATAAACAGCAAACCACAAGATTAGTGTCTTAGGTTGGAAAGCAGAGGCACAGACAGCGGGACCTAGAATGAGCCAACTTTCAGGATCCAGTCACTTTGTTCTCTGAAATGGCAAAAAAATTGCAGTTTGGGCTCTTGAAACAGCACTGCTACTGGGGTTCCCAGAACAGGCTTTATGATCAGAGTGATGCCTCCACTTCCCCATCTATAAGACCCTGGAAACAGTGCCTCAGTCTGCACCAAGCATGGGAGAATTCTAACCGCGCCCCTCACCCTCAGGCCAGCACCAGGAGGATTCAGCTGTTTGTTGACTGAGCTTAAAGGGACAACCTATAGCTTATTAGTTATTAGTTATTCTTTCCCTCGGTGCTAATATAGTACCTGGTGGTGTGTGAGTAGTTAACATCATCTACGCCCTGGCTGTAGTTATAATTAATGTGTAGAAGTGATCATTAATGTCAGTTAAAAGTATTATAAAGGGTCAGTACTGGTTTCTCATCTCAGACCAAAAAGAAAAAAGTTAGTAACTTTTTTCCAAGTAAAAAGTTTCTAGGCAATGAAAAAAATGTGTTGTCATCATGATGATGTGAAGACAAATTTAGGCAGTTCTTACTTTGTTTAAGTGATTGTCACTGGCACTACAGTTTCCTGTTTACTGAAAGATGATGGATTTAGACTGAAATCTGTGCTTTCTGTGAGCTTTTCTATCAGAACTGTAATTTTTGTCAAGTAGCAACTTCTCCTAGGTCCTGTGGAGAAGGGTCACCTCTTCACGCAGGCCTCCCCAAGCCAGCAGATTCCTCCATCACACCATCTCAGTCATTTTCTTTGGAGACTCGTCAGTATTTGTATATTTTTGTTCAGTTACCGTCTCTTTCACAGTCAGTAGTCCAAAGGCCTCACGAGAGCATGAGTCTTGTCTGTCATTCCACTGCCGGGCCCCATCACTCAGTATACAGTAGTCATTTAATAAATGCATCATAGATGACTGAGTGAATAGTACTCCAAATAAACTGTAGAAAAGGAAATGTCTTCAAATCTACTAATCATCTTTGCCACTTCTGTCATATCAAATAAACAGACAAAAGTCCATTCACAATTGGGGAAGTAGAAAGGAATAGTTATTATATAGAAGAAATAATCTCAAACTGCATTCCCTTCTTTTGCTCCACAAAAGCT